ATTTTAAAGATATTTACATATTTTGTATATAATTATATTATAATTAATGATTTACTGTTCTAGATGAAATCTGATGACACATTACCACGAGTCACATCCCCACGCATGTATAATGATGGCAATATAACATTTGAAGGATTAATGGTGGTTTTTGCTTCATTTTCCACTTATTTGCAATATTTAAATATTTATAGATCAGTGTGGTGGTTACCCAATTCAAATTATACTTTATGGGTAAGATACTATAAAATACTGCTAAATTGACAAAATCTTATAATTTCATATTAACATTTATTTAATTTTTTTTTTTCAGAAAATACACTTGATTGATTATCAAGTGGTTATATTTATACTAGCTATGCATTGTCGAAGATTTATATATTGCTTAATAACATGGGTTTTCCACATGTTATGTCCTCAAAATTATTGGAAATTTATAAGATTATTCATTAGGTAAGATTTTTCCCTATTTTAAATGTAAAATACATTTTTCATTAGGTGAATTTAAATAAWTCTTATTTACCTAAAATATTTTCAGATCATTTGTTTCCGTCACACTATTTCTTTTATTAGCTCTGTTAGCATTTGATCTATATTTAAAGTATGACTATTTAATAATAGTTTACTTATTTATGCCGTAAGTTAATAATATTTTTATTAATATATAAATGATTTCATTACAAGACTAACAATTGGTTTATTTTAGAATAATTGGTTATTTATGCTATTATGGTTTTAAAGCATGCCCATTTTTCGATATGATGTGTATTAGTGAAAAAGAAATAATTATCAATGGAAAATCATTAAGTAAGTTTTAAATTTATTATAAACATTTATACTTTTTGGCTTTAAATTAACAATTTATATAACCTGCATTTTTTTTCCCATTAACTTTAGGGTTGCTATTAAGTGAAAGTTGAATAAGAAATAATTAAAATATAATTATTAAATTTTAAGGAATTAATAAATTAAATGTAATATCTCATGTATCTATTATTTCTCAATGTATTAGTCATTTCATTTGCCCGTTAACTTATTTTAACTATTTTATAGGCCTGAATATATTTTGGGAGATTTAAATATCAATGTTTAATTTTTTAATACAATGGCAACCTTTTTGTTAACTATAATTGTTTTATAATCATATAACATTGGTATAATGTTTTACTACTTACTTATCATAACTTCTAACATTTTCAGTTCAATATACAAATATGCACATATGTACATCAAACCCAAAAATTATTCGATCAGAAGTGGAAAACATGAGAGATGATTTTAATAATAGGCTAACCCAAATACTGTTTTCTTCTTTTTTTTCAGCATATTATGCATGCTTTTTGCCACTAGTATTTGTACAAGTATGTTATTTTATTGTTTTATCAAACACATAGTACTTCATCATTTTCTGATTTTTCAAGTGTGAATCTGTTTGTAGTGGATATTAAAAAAATATTTGTCCACTATTGACAAAATAAACCATATAGATACCTCTTGGCTGGTCTGTAAGACTATTTACAATTGTCTCGTCTGTTATAGAGATKTTACACTGTTAAGAGGTGTCTGTATTTTTTAAATAGGTATTTTACTATATTAGCATCTATAGAAATACAACTAATCAATTACTTATAAAAATCAGTATATTGTGTTTTACCTACTACATTCATAATTATTTTAGAGGGAAATTATCCAAGTATAAACTATGTTATAAAGTATTTAAATTTAGCCATACTAATTTAACGCTTGCTCGGATTGGGCTTCTGGGCAATATGAAAGTCTTATATATCAAAAATTRACTAACAATTCTAATAATATCATATTGGTTTTTGTTTTTACTGATAATTCAAATTTCAAATGTTTTTACGTACACAAGTTTTAGTCTTGATTAAATATTAACC